TGTTGTTCTATATGCACTTTTTATGAGAGATCATGTTCTTGTAGTGTTACTTTTCCATGATCAGAATTCTGGAAATGTTTAAACAAGGACAGCCTGAGTTGGAGCAGACTTCTAGAGATTGATGTTGATACATAATGATATCCTACTGAATATTTTTAACTATTTCTCTGCAATAGATTTAATATTTGCTTGCTTGCAAGATGAATGTTGTATATTTATCATCCCCAGTATTAAAAACCTTCTTTAACCACAGTTTTATTACTTTTTATTGAAGCATTTATTAATTATATATTAAAAGTATTAATGATAGTTTTGACCCCACCCTGTTTTTTTTTGTTTTTTATATAGTTGAACTAAATGTCAAAGAATTGACCAATTACTTTATTTGCTTGTCTTTTGAAAAATTTAATTGTATTTCCTTTTGTCATTAATTAACGCCTATTCTTTGCTTTTTGACTGACTACAAATATTGTCTTTGTTTTTTTTCTTTTCTTTTCTTTTTTTTTTTTTTCCTATAGTTGTCTAAAAACTGTCTAATTGTTTTACTCCCTTTCTTTTTCCGCTCCCTTGTGCAATTGTACTCCTAAGTATTATTATGTCACTTTTGTGTTCATGTGTGCACACACATGTATTGTTATTGTTCCAAAGTATCTGGATAGCTTTTCAATGAAACAAAATTGTTGTCTATCAGTAAGACGCTGCTTATCTAGGAATCAAAACTGGTGGGTTGCTGTGAAAATAGCAAATTACTTATTAGTTTGTTTTTTCTAACATATAGCCATTCTATTTATTTTTATATTTTTATGTATTTATTTATTTGTTTTTTCCAACATCTTTGTAATTGAATTTCAATTCTCAGTGGATAGATTTCAACAAAAAAAAAGTACGTTTTTTTTTTCCTTCCTGAACATTTGCACCCCCCCAAAAAAAAAAACTATATTAATTGATTCCTTTACTGTTATATCAGATTTTTTATCTCTGCTTATTCCATATTTGAATTAGTTTGGTTCAGAGACTGATTTTGGGTGTTTGGGATAATTAACATCACCATACAAACATATTGAAAGAAAAAAAAAAAACAATTTAAAAGTAAGCAATGGTTTATCTTTTTTAAATGAAGCTGAGCTCTCTCTCTCTCTCTCTCTCTCTCATCTTTGTTATCAAATTTTGATTAATAGAAACATTATAGTATAATCAATAAATAACAAATCCTTTTTAGTCGAGCAGTATTTTTAAACGACTTATCTACATTTTTTTTTTTTTTTTTTTTTTTTTTAATTGTTCCAGTTACTCTAATCAAGTTGTAGCTTTTTGCAACCACATCAGTTTCACTGAATCGCTAAAGTAGGTGCAGTTTTTTTTTTTTTTTTTTTTATTATTGTGCAGGTCAGCCTTTAAGTTGTAATATTTATAAATGAGGTAATAAAAGTAATAACCCTCTAAGTCTTTGCAAACTCTCCACCTCCCATTAACATCCAAATTGTGTTGCTATTTTTTATTCTGTCATGTGTGTGTGTGGAACAATGCAATCCGGTTGGATAGTGTGACATTTATGATATAAATTGACAGTTTTGTTAATTGATGACATTTTTGGATCAAAATGTTATTTTGATTTTTAAAAAAAAATAAAAAAAAAAATAAACCATTTAAAATTTTATTGTTGGTTAAAATGTGGATAACTTTATTTTGATGTTATTTTTAGAAGAATTTTCAACATGAAATTCTGCAGTAATTTGAAAACTTTTGTCTGAATTTCTTGGATGAGGAGTTGTCATAATTTACATTTGGGCTAATGTACTCATCTTTACCACATTTTGTCTGTTGTGTCCTTTGGCCTTCTTTACTTGTCTGTCAATCCAGGTAACTTTCAGGGAATTTTAAACTGATCCCTTGATCTAATATACAGGAGTAGATTATTCTAACCTATTGTTGCCTAGTGAATTAAAACCATTGACTTATGAATTTGGTGACATATTTATTGTGAGTTCAATCACTTGGCTGGGTAGTACTGACTCAGGCTGTAGAGACAGGGTGAGCAATAACAAGTCTAATAGCTCTACACATGTGAGAATTGAACATGAACCTACCCTTGTAGATTAAATAAATTCTGTGAAGGTTATCTGGATTGACAACACCTAAAAAAAAATAAAGGCTAAGATGTCACAACAGTGAGGTCATTAGTTTTTATGTAAATAACTTGAAAACAATTTAACATTCTGTAGATTGCATTTTTGTTTCCCTCATTAATATTACTGTTAAGATTTTTTTCCTCTTAATAAAGATTTTGAAATAATTAATCCTTTCTAGAACCTTTGAAATTTTGGCTAAAAAAAATTTTCCCTTGTGTTGGCTAGTGACCATGAATTAGTATAGGAAATTTTTAGGATCTTTTTCTTTCTTTCTTTCTTTTTTTTTTTTTTTTTTTTTTTTTTTTTTTTCTTCTTGTGCTGAAAAAGCATTGATTTGGAAATTTTTACAAAAAACAGTTAATTGTCTGATTTTAATGAAGCATTCAGAACTTATTCACAAATGAATGGAATTATTATGAATTAAAGTTTATATTATAAAGCACAAGTCCTTGGAGAATTTAAATAATTTTAATCTTAATAAAAAAAAAACCTTAGGTATCGTTTTTCTTTGAAGGTACTACCTAACTAGCTATGTGATAAATGGGGAAACTTAGCGGACACTTTTTGTCCTCTAACAGACTTTATCAAGAGAGATGCTCATAAATATTCATCAGGTTAACTGAAAAGTCTAGGTAAATTATGGAGGTTGCTAAGTGACGTAATTTAATGTCTAATAAGTGGAAGTGATTAAATGAGGTTTATAAACCTTACTTGGGGGGGGATTAATATTTAAATTATTTTAGTATTTTTTTTAATGTGTGTGTGTTAATTTCCTGTGCTGATAGGAGAGGACAGAATGACTACACAAAAAAAAAAAATTGTTTGTATAATATTTATCTAAAATCTGGGAAGATTATGAAAATCCGGGATGACTGAAATAATTTATAAAGGTTATTTGTTGCTGATTTAACACTTTTATTAATGTAGAAACTAGTTTGATTTGATATGGACTACTTTACCAACAGCTGAATGAAAGACAATTTGCAAAATTTAGTATCCAATCAAAGTGGATTGATATTATTAATGCTTTGATGGAAGAATAATTCTTCTTACAATGGAAGTAGGTCACTCGTACAAGAGAATCTGTTTCTATTTTAGCAATTATTCCTTATGCAAATTAGATTTAGTGTTAAGTTAATTAGAGATTTTTAGTCAAATATACTAACCATTTCACACATTGACATTCTAATAACCACCATCTTTTCAGAATTAATAAAACTAAAGAATATATCAAAGTTCTTTTTATAAGGGGTCTTAAATTGTTTAATGATTCAATGTTATGCTTGTACTCCATTTCCTGACCTCTTATCAGTTAGGAAATTATATGAATGCATTGTAATATTTTTTTTCTTTTAGGCTTGTTGAATTTATTGTTAGCAACAAGTAACATGAAGTGTTCAACTTCAGTCTCTCTTTGGAGTTTCATGGATATGTTATCCACTTGTCAGGAAATTTCAAGTAGGGTTGTAAGTTGAACACTTGATTTTATTTGTTACTATTAATGTTCTCTCTTGATATTGAATACTTTAATTATAAAGATTGTTTATCTTAAAGATGTTATCCCCCCCACAAATAAATTGTTTGACAATATTTTTTTTTTTGTTTTTTGTCCCCTTTCTAATAATAATAACAACAAAAACAATCTTTTGTTATAAATTTGCTTATTAAAAAAAAAAAAAAAAAAATTAAATGTTTTTAAAGTTACTAATTTTAGATATTAGAAAGTAATTATGAAATAGCTGTAAAGTAGTGGTTAGCTTAACTGGCTGTTATTTAATATTGGAGTTAGCCTACACATTTATGCTGTTGCCACACTAAATTATCCTTAACAGATAATGAGGACAACCGTATATATTATTCCATTCTGGGTATGACTATAAACTACATCCATGTCCTGGGTAAGATGATAAACTACATCCAACAGCAAGGCATCTGATCAGGAGGTTTTGAGGAGCATGGAACCACCTCTTAATTGCTGGTGTTCCCAGATCCACCCTGACCTGGGGTGGTAGCACCTGTTAGGGTCCCAGCTATGAGTAAATAGTTAAACTCAAAACTGGGGTAAAAACACTATGAAAGTGTAAAAATAGGTTTTAACACCAGAAATACTTTGTAAAAAAAAAAAAAAATTATCAGCATTAAATTCTTGAAAGAAAAAACTATTACCAGCAATAAATTTTTAAAAAAAATATTACCAACAATACATTTTTGAAAAAAAAAAAATAGATAAATGAATATTACCAGCTAAACATTTTTGAGGAAAAGAGGGAACAATATGCATTTAAATTTTTGAAGAGCAAAATTGACTGGGAAGCAAGAAACTGAAAGATAGTCACACAAGCAAGAAGTACAAGAGAAAAAACTGTTAGCATAGAACTTAATTACACTTAGCCATTTGAACTATAAAATGATGAAGCCTAGCTACCAATTGTGTGTGTGTGTGTGTGTGAAAACATTTCAGACTACAAATACTCTGACCATCATTAGTATCACCAATCTATATATAAATAATCTTATAAATTTTCTATGCATAACTCGTAGTCATAAATCTCATCCCTGGTTTAGTACCCCAAGTGTCAGGCTGATGAGGTTTGTTTATTTGTTTGAAAATGTCCTCACAAGAAAAATAAATATTTCGGCCCATTATTATTATTGTTTTCATTTTTTGTTGGTACTTTCTGTGTTGCTTAATGTTTTTAATATTTGCCTAATAGAATATTGGATTTGAATTTAGAATCCTTGAACATTTTAAAATGAAATAAGTTCAAATCTTTTTTTCTTCCTAAGTGTCCATTGTTCCTTAGTATATAGATGGATGAAGGCCTTAGTTGTTTTGTATAGATTTAAGTCTTTGGTTTTTATTCCTTTCAGGTATTTCCAATTCGGGAGATACCACAATGGCTTCTAGTTCTAAAGGATCCTCTTATCAATATGATTATCCAGGTAAGTGTATCAGGTGAGTTTTAAATGTTTTGGATTGCTCGTGAATTTATACAAATATTGTCAGTGGGAAATTGTTTTCAGTAATTCTGTTTTCTTATAAAGCAGTTTTTATTCCAGTTTTGAAAAATACTCACATTTTCTACAGTATTACATACCTATGAAATAAATTGTCATAAAATAATTTTCTTTGGGGATTGGGTGGAAACAAACCTTTCATTAGAATTGTTAATTGTAGGTTTTCACAAATTTTTATCTTTTTACAAGGATCTACTTTTTTCTTTATTAACTTGCTGTATTTGATAGTATATATACCCACCTCTCTTCACATGTATAATATTCTGCATGTTACACACACACACACACACATTATTTATTTAAAAATTATAATAAATATGTTATAAAATCACTACAATATATATATATATATATATATATATATATATATATATATATATATATATATATATATATATATATATATATATATATTTCTACCAAGGGTCAGTGCAGTATCTGCTTGATTCCTGGTCCTAAATATACAATAAAAAAAAGGTGATGCTATGGTTATTTAATTCATAATGCTATATTGATTTATTCAAACTGTTTAATAAGTTTATAAGGATTTGGAAGTATTCAGGCCATTTAGTATTCTACATATATTAACATTGTCACATTTGTCAAGTATCAATGTTTTGAATGGACAAGATCAGATTCTGTCTTGTCATATATATTTTGCTGACATTTTTGTGAAATTGTTTGAAAATGTATCAAGTTATGGTAGTTTTGTTACACGTGGATCAAAATTTTATATATGAATAATTTTGTTTGATATTAACAAGAATGTCAGTTGCAACTTTATTGTAATGAAAATGGATTATTTTAATATAAAAATTAGTAGAAAAATTTAAAACTTGTGATTCTGATTGTGTAATAATTTGTAAATTTTCTGTTTTTTTTTTTTTTTTTTTTTTGCCTCCCACTCTTCTTTTTCCTCTTTTTTTTTTTCTCTTTTGTTCTTTTTTCCGTTTTTTTTTTTTTCTTTTTTCTTTTCTTTCTTTTCTTCCTCTTCTGTTTATTTCTTTTCTTCCTCTTCTGTTTATTTCTTTTCTTCCTCTTCTGTTTATTTCTTTTCTTCCTCTTCTGTTTATTTCTTTTCTTCCTCTTCTGTTTATTTCTTTTCTTCTTCTTCTGTTTATTTCTTTTTTTTTTCGTTCTTTCTCCTCTGTTTATTTCTTTTTTTTTTCGTTCTTTCTCCTCTGTTTGCTTTTTTTTTCTTTTTTTTTTTCTCCGTTCTTTCTCCTCTGTTTTTACAGGTTGCTTAGCTTACTTTTTTATTATTTCATTTCTTTTGCTATTTTGTAACTTATAAATGAAGTTGAAACATCTTATATGCATTTACTCAATTTCATCCACTTAAGTGTAGCTTAAGCTTTTCTATATTTAACCTTTTCATTTCTATAGAATGACTTTGATATTCATTACAAATATTTTTTTATAAATATTTACTTCTTTTTCTTCTTGAAGTAATGAAAATAAACATGTTCAGACTTAGGCTTGATTATCAGACTATTTTGGTTGTGATTTCCTTAGAGGTCTTCACTTGAAATTAGTCACTCAAACACAAAATAATAAAATAAAAGCTTGTTTTTGCATTAGTTATATTTTTATTTATGTCAAGTAATTTGAAACTAATTTTTGTTCTAGAAAAATAATTACATTTTGATTTTGACTCTTTTTTCATAATGTATCGAGCTTAAAAGAACTTTATCACTCGCCAAAGATTTTATTTCTTTAAATAAAAAATTAAAACGGTTCTCCCCACCCACCTTCTTTCATATATATATATATATATATATATATATGATTTCACTCCAAACAAGGCAGTAAAGCTCCTGAGACAATGTGGTTACTGGGTTTGGAAATATTAGAAACATTACTAAGGAGTGAGAACAAAACAGTAATCAGGATAGTAGATAGTAATTGACATTGTATTTTAATTTTTGAAGAGTTGACTCGAAAGCAGAGAGCCAGAACAGTTCCACAAGTGAGAAAAGAAACTGTTAGCATAGAACTTACTGTTACATCTAGCCAACTCGACTGTAAATTGATGAGACCTTGTTGTTACTCTAACATATCAAAGAGCTCATCTGAGCAATTACCTTAAAATTATTTGTAGAAAAGGCACAGGAAGGCAAATTTACATCAGTGGGAAAGTGACTGAAGCCATGACGCCAGACCAGGACCAATAATATTGCTCATTCTTCTTTGGATTTTATCAAAGGTCTCTAGATATATAGCAGGAGCACCAGACCATATGTGGCAGCAATATTCTAAGCATGGATGAATAGTAGACATAGATTCTGGAGAGAAAAATTCTCTAGTATGGCACAGTGAACCAACTTTCTTAACAGCTGTCCTAGCAATGGGTACAATAGTCTTTCCATTTCATGTTGAAAATGTTAGCTCGGGATGGAACTAGTCACTCTCCTGGAGGTTAGCATTCGTCATACTGATGGAAGGCAGAAAGTGGTCTCTCAGACGATTAATAGAGCAGTTTAGTTTTGTGGGTGTTAAAATTAACAAGCTATTTTGCCCCAGTTAACAGACTGAAGGTCATTTTTGGCATCAGTTCCCTGATCCCATTATCGAGACTGAAGTAAATGGTTGTCATCAGCACAGATCCTAAGTTGAGAGCTGATGCCACCGAGAAGGTTGTTAATGAAAATTAAAAGCAAAGTTAGGCCAAGGATATAGCCTTGGGGTACACCCGCATTAGTACAAAAAGATCTAAAAGAGTGGCCATTTAGGATAACTTGCATTTTGTGATTTGGTAAGGAAGACTGGATCAGTTCAAAAATTTGACAGGAGACACCATAACTTTTCAATTTGTGAAGAATTGTATGACAAATCCTGTTGAAAGCTTTTGTGATGTTCAAAGTAACAGCCCGAGTTTCACCATTCTTATTTAGGGCTTGATAGACCCATTCCATAGTTATTGCCAGTACATCAGCAGTTGGCCTAGAGAAGTGAAAGCCATATATATATATATATATATATATATATATATATATATATATATATATATATACTATATAATCAGTAGAGCCCGGGATGTAACAGTAAGAGATAGATCAAGTATCGACCATCATAAAGACTGAAAAATAAAATTGACAAATATTGTTTAAGGTTGACGGACATGCATGTCTTAATTAGTTTTTTTTTTTTTTTTTTTTTTTTTGTTCAAAATTGAACAAAAACATTGTTTTCAATCGTTATGAGTCTACCGATTGAATAGAATTTTATTATAAACAATTGTCTTGTAAATGGAATTTTTAAAGCATTCTGAATGTAAAAATAAAGAAAAAAGTGTGCAAGACAATAAGAAACACTACCTGCCAAAAAAAAAAAGTGAAGTTTTATTGAAATCAGTTGAAAAATGTAGGAAATCCGATCCATATATAAACACACACGCACACACACACACACACACAACCTGGGTTTTATAATAAGTACAACTCGATATCATACACACACACAACCTGGGTTTTATAATAAGTACAACTCGATATCATACACACACACACACAACCTGGGTTTTATAATAAGTACAACTCGATATGATTTGTTCCCCTTTCATTCCGTGAAAGCAATGCCTTTTAATCGTGTTTTCAAATTGATTTCATGCAAAAACAATTGTTTTTCCAATTTTTGGCGCTGTCAGAACCACCACAAGGTAATTTTATGTAGTCCTGTGAAGTTTTGTTGAAAAAAGTAGGAAATCCAATATATAAACGTACAGACACGCACGCACACACACACACACACAACCTGGGTTTTATAAGTATGAGATATATAGTGTGTGTGTGTGAGTGCATATGAACAGGGTGTGGCAGAAATACCTCTCACATAAGACATTGGTGGCAATGCTGTTTTCATATAGCTAATGTTTTACCATCATATGGGAGATATTTCTGTCATATCGTGTGTGTATGATTGTTTATTTTTTTGCAATAATATTTTTAATTGTAAAGATGTCTTAATTCAATTTGGAGATATTAATTCGCCTAAACATGAAATTGGCTTACTTTGAACAAAACAACTTTGTTATTTATGTTTTACTTAGTACATATTTTTATCTCAATCTTTTACATACAAACTGCTACATATTTTTTTTATTTAATAATTTCCCCTAAAAATATTAAGATTTTCTGTCTTAAAATTAAAACTATGTACTTGGTAGACTTTTGTGTACATTTGTCCATTTGCTATTCAGTGACTTTGTAAACTGTTCTTTGTTTATTGAATTTTGCATCCATTGAAGCTATAATGGTTGCAGACTGCTTTTACTTGTCCAATGTTATTTAGCCACTTCAGAGCATAGCAATCTCTGCCATCTGCAATACAGTTTTTCATGAATCACGTGTCTGATCTTACCTTCTATGATGCCAACTATTTATCTATATATCAAACCTTCACATCAATCAATACTGAAAATGCTTTTTCCTTACTGCTTCATATATCAAGGAATGTACCACTGAATGATTAGTTCTTCTGGTTCGTTCAACATGGAAGAAAGTGTGGTAGGGTGCATTCAGACAGTGGAATAATTGTCTTACTATAGTTTGTTTTTGTTTTTTGTTTTTTTTGTTTTGTTTTTTTTGTTTTTTTTATCTTAGTATTTTAACCGTGTGTGTTATAATTATTTATTTTAACTGAATCCTCAAAAAAAAAAAAACAATTTAAAAAAAAAAATGACGATATAATTGTAAAATAATTGTGTATAATTAAATGCCTTAGATAGATTTTTGTCTAGAACATTTTGTATATGAGTCATTCTATGATTGTATGTAGTTCCTCTCTCTCTCTCTCTCTCTTTTTCTTTTTCTTTTTTTTTTTATAGACTAGAAGTTAAAACAAATTATGCCTCCTTGTGATGATTTTATTGTCAAATGTGTGTTGTTGCTTTGAGTGGAGGGGTAGATTAAGAAAAAAAATGTCTACTTTAATGCTAAAATAAACATTAAAACTTGTCAAATTTAAGGTTAAGTTTTGCACATTTCTTTCATGAAGACTGCTTATAAACTGCTAAATTACGACTCACATTGAATCATGCTCTAGTGGTAGATTCACAAACTAATGGCGGCAGATTCAAAACCTGCTAGACTATGGGAGTTGCCAGAATAGATATGCTATTTGTATTCCTTTTACATGAGCAGGAGATACTGAAAAGTTCTGGACCTAACTTCTTAATCAAATAACCAAATGTGTGTGTCTTTTTCTGTTGAGAACTATTTGGATGAATCAGGGTTTACCCCCACCCCAGCATTCCCTCTATACTTTGCAGCAATATCCTTTAACAGATAATTTGTTAGATCATTTAAAATGCCTGTAAATCTTGTCCTGACAAAAATCTCTTGTGGATATTCATGCAACGTTATCACAGGCATTTCTTTTTCTCTTGATATTTCTAACTCTTAAGTTATTAATTATTGCCTATTATTGTTTTTCAAGTGTTTTATTGTTTTAATGTTTTCTCTTCATTTCTCTCATTTCTTATTATTTCATATATTGTCTTTCTATTTTTCTTTTTTTGTCTCTTGTTCTTATGCTCAAATGATTCTGAAGACGATGCTTCTTGCTCAATCACCAAAGTTAGGGAGTGTCAAGCCCAGTCAGTATTTAGATGAGGTTCCACTTTGGGAACACCAGGCACAGAAGCAACCCCCTACAATCAAAAATGTTTTAGGATTTAAAAATAACCCACAGAGGGTTTATAAACTGTTAAAAATATAATACCAATCTATCGTATTGGTTTGACCATATTGGGAATAAACAACAAAATATTAAAATTGATATTTGGCAAATAATTTACTTTTTCTTTATTAAGAATATAAAGTTTCTGTAAAATAGTGGCTATTTTTGTGTTTTCTACAATTTACAATAAATAAATAAAAATGGCTTAAGCTCTTTGTATCTACCAAGTTTTCTACATCATATACTGTTACGACAACAACACTTTTTTGTATATGATCTTTACATTTTCATTAGTAGTTGGATAAAGAGTGGTTTATTAAAAAAAAAAAACTAAATTGTTTCTTTATATCTCAACATTGGCATGTTGCAGATGCTGGAAAGTTCTTAGCTCAATGCACCAAGTTATTTTTATTTTTTTTGTTAAATAGCCAAATTAAATTTTTCAGCACTCTCTCATTGATGAAACTTTTCTGCAACAAATTATTTTGATTTAGATCGGTCATAGGCAGCCTTTTTCAACCAATAGGTCACATGAGATATGGCCTTAAAATGCAGGCTGCACTACTTTAAAAAAAGGTTTTTAAAATAAAATAAAATATATATATATA